AAAAATTTCGAAAATTAGCGATTTTTAAATTTGTAATTTTTTTGGAGGTTTCCCCCATTTACGGGGAACGAGGGAAATTTTTTCAATTTTGAAGGGTAATTTCTTCGACTACATACGATTTGTGATCTTTTGACGTATCGTTGAAAGAAATCCGTTCGGTGATAGCTGAGAAAAAGTGGTAACAGACACAAAAAAAAAAAAAAAAACACATCATAGTAAAACCAATACCTTCTCAGCTTCGCATCGAAGCTAAAAATTGAAAAAATGTCGAAAATTAGCGATTTTTAAATTTGTAATTTTTTGGGGGATTTCCCCCTTTACGGGAACTAAGGAATTTTTTCAAATTTCGAGCGCAATGTCTTCGATTAGATACGATTTGTGATCTTTTGATGTATTTTTCATCAAAATCGGTCCAGCGAGAGATGAGATTGAGCGTATACAGACACAAAAAAAAACACATCATAGTAAAATTAATACCTTCTCACCTTCGCATCAAAGCTAAAATAAATAACTCGTGGCTAATATTATTTAAATTGATAATTTAAAAATAAAAAATATTTAACTAAAATTCCCAAAACTGAAATAGCCGAATTACTAAAAAATCATTGGTACAAATTCCAGGAACAATGTCATCTGAAACTGAATAACCCCAAATTTATGCTATCAACTTTTAATGCATTACGTTAAACAATTAATTTATCTGTCAAGATTATTAAAAAATATTTTTAAAATTTAATTTTGTATACATTTAATATTTCACTGGTTAAGGATAAACTTCAGAGAAGTTTTCAATTCAAATATAATGAGAGTTTTTATTAAAAATCATCACAAGGCAAACCTTATCATAAAAAAAATTTTTGTAATTTTAATAAACCTTTAGGAATAAACCTAAAAAATATTTCATAACTATATGGGAAATATATTTGGGAATGAGAGCTTATGTAGTACAAATCAATTTTGAATAAATCGAGTTAAACTTGAAAATAAATATTTCAAATTTAATACATTATTTGTTATACAATGATGTAAGTATGACGAAAAAGACAAGAATAAGTTCCTATAATGTAAGTTTAATAAAACTGTAAATCTTTGGTTAGTATAATAAAAACTGATCACTTGTGCCTAATATTAATTAAAATGTAAAGATTTTTTAAAGTAATAATTTAAAACTAAAAAATATTTAACTGAAATAACAAAAAAGTTACCTCAGTGCTAAACACATACGTGTAATATGCTGATGATTAATTGTCTAAAGAAAACCGTTTTTTTTTCTCGGAATTCATCATATAGGACACAAATATATATTAGATTATTGTTGTAAGAATTTAATCATACACTAAACATAACAATGATGTTGTGATGTTGATGACGATTTCTAAAACTTTATTAGAAGAATAATTATACAAAGATTTGTATAATAAATAGATTTGTATAATAAATAGAAACTTTTCATTTAATTCAATATATTTATTGTAGTTTACATAGCTATAATTATATTTTAATGTACGTCAACAATATAGGCGGAAAGGAAACCTATTTTTGTAAATACATACACAAATCTTCGATTTATTATTAAATGATTCTACTTTACTATAAATATTATATCATTTATACATTGACACACTTAAAACTTAATTCATATTCAACTAAAATATTTCATGATGAATATTAAATTTGCTTTCCATATGTTTTGTACTACCGCGATAATTGTACAAATATCTGCATTGAAAAGATTTGTAAGTGATAGAAACTTTTTTTTTAATTAATATATTTAAATAATTTTCATTAAACTGTAAAATATAATTATACACAAAATTTATTTTATAAAATGATATTATTTATTATTAATAATGCAATAATTACTATATATATAATATTATTTAAACATTTATTTACAATTTTTTAAATTATATATAATGTAATTAAAAATGTTAATTTTTTAGTATACAAAGAATAATCCAGTCGAAGAAGAAAAAATTAACACAAATTTAGATAACGTAATTAAAGATTATAACAATAATTTAAATTATTTATCTTGAGCCCTGGCTTCTAGGTTATACATAATAATAATTTATATATATTTTTAATTTACCTACTGGTCCTCATTATATTTTTTTGAATTAAAAGAATTATTATAAAAAAAATTATTATCTCATTAAAGTTAAGCTTATGTATTATAATATTATTTATTAATTTATTTAGGTGAAAAAGGAAGTAATATTTGAAGAAACAAAACGGAACAAATATTTAGATAATGTAATTAAAGTTTATAACAATAATTTAAATTACTTATCTTGATCACTTGTTATTTAGGTATCTATTATAATTTATATAGTTGTTAAATTATTTTTCTTGAGCCCTGGCTTCTAGGTAATATATAATTATAATTTATATATTTGTTATATTTACCTACTGGACTTCATCGTTTTTTTTTTTTTAATAAAATAAATATTATATAAAAAGTTATTATCTCAATAAACTTAAACTTATTATATTATAATATTATCTACCATTTATAAATTTAGTTAGGTACAATTTTTATTAAATACTTATTAATTTTTAAATAAATTTTTCCTTGCCATAATTATTATTTTAAGAGAAATCGATTGGCTAATATTAATATATTCACTCTATATAGTATATATATCGAATAACTTTTAATTTTTTATGAGATAACACCAAGTCATTTATTAAATAATTAGAGCGTTTAAAGCACCTACAAAAGGAGTTAATTCGAGACAATTTCATATGTTTATTTATGTAATTTTAAATAAACAACAAAACCACAAAATATTTTCTAGTATAAAAGTAAAAATTTAAACCCGGTATTGAAATACACTTAAAATAAAATAAAACTTATTAAAAGAAATATATGATTAAAATAATATGTTAATTCATAAAAATCTATTTTATATGAATATGTTTTTAATTTTCAGAACTCTGAAACATATTTATTGTTTTTTTTATATTATATTGGAATAAGTTTTTTTAAATATTTTAGGGTTTATGTACAAATAACTTTTTTATTAATGCTTTAACCGCATTGAATGAGTGTATTGGTGAAAATGAAACTGTAAAACGTCATTCATTAAATGAAAGTAATAAAATATAATTTGGTGGTGATACCTTGATACTATTTTTGTAAATAATTAAAATTTTTTTAGATGAATATAAAAATTATATAAATTCAAATTTAGCCATGAAATTAGTAAATGAAACTTGTGATCTATTGAAAAAGAGATATTATGCTACAGAACCAAAATCCAAAGAAATATTGTCAAAAGAAGTGTGTGATAGTTTAAGCACAGAAGTGTTAGAAGAAATGGAGGGAAAATGTTATGATATAATGGAAGATTGTTCCAATAAATTTATTATTCAAATAATGCATTCTAGTAATAAATTTGAAATTGTACACGGAAATCTGTTGAATCCTGACAGCAGAAACATAATTATATATTGTCCTATAACTGAAGGAGATATATAAATAATATAAATTTTACCAGAATCATTGACAAGTATAGAAACTGATACAATATAGAAATAATTTATATAATTATACAAACATTTTAATAATCAAAAATAGTCATTACTTTTAAGAATAAAAAATAAGTTTTTAAAACATGAATGTAAAAATTTAGACCTGTCATTATAAAATCAATAATAAAACCTTTTGGTTTACAACTCATGAAACAATAAATAACCATTCTGCACTTAAAATTTAGTATATTTTAATTACTATCAGGAAAACTATAACAATCTTCTTCTTCCTTGCCTTAATCCCAACTACTTGAGGACGGTTGGACATATTTTTAGTATATATCTTTGTCTATGTTACAATTACCTAATTTATGTACTTGTATTATTTGTAAAAAGGGCTTCTACCCGTGAAATTATAAAATAAAATAAATAAATAAGTGCTATATAAATTTGAAAAAAAATTATTCAATTACTTTTGTGAAATAAGATGATAAAGTTGGATATTTTCAGCAAACTATGCGTGTTCAAGATCGTAAAACGATACAAAAAAAGTTATAAATCGATTCAAATATGATATGGGTTAAAAGAACATAAGTAAAAGTTTCTGAGTGGAACAGTAATAACTTATTTGGATGTGAAGTTATAGGCTCTAGAATATAATGTGTTTTTTCATGTTTTTAATTATAAAGCTGCGCTATCTGGTAAAAAAAAACAATAAAAAAAAATTATTTTTATTGTCCATGACTATTAAGAAGACTATGATAAAAATTTCAATTATTTTTTAACTATAGCCGCACACACATTATATAATTTCACATGGAATGACATTTTCTCAATTAAGAATAGTTTATTGTTTTAAGCTCAATTTTCTAAAAAAAACTAAATTCGACTAATTACAAATAAGATGATGACTTTTTTGTCTTACTTTGTTCGCCTGTTCGAAAATTACTTGAGTGTTTGTTAATACTCCAACGATGATTCGAATAAGGGTGTTCTTTCTTTGTTAAAAAACATTTACTCGTAATGTAAAATAAATAGATATAGAATTTAATTTTAAATACTAATAATAATTAGTATTAATAATAAAAACTTTTAATTCATAAATAAGCGGGAACACGCGTCGTCTAATATTATTATTGTATATAATCACGGACCTTCTAACTGACACAAATAGACGTTTAGACGAGTATTCGTATTATGGTTCAGATGGGCATTCCAGATTATAGAATTTATTGCCCTTTTGAAGGTTCCCCTTATTTGTTTTAACCTTTTGTCGTCCACATTTTATTAATGTCTTTATTTCCATAATTATGTTATTGAAGTGATTGCTGGCATATTTTTGGAGTAAGTTGACTGTTAAAATAGTTGCATAAACTAAACTATTACAGTGAAAATAATTCTTCTAATAATTTTATAATCACCCAAAATATTACACATATTAGGTAACCTTACACGAAAGGATTTTTTGGCGGAATTAGTCTATTGTGAATTAAATCATTATAAAAAGTCTTACTGTATGTAGTGTACCAAAAATTGAATCCTTACAAATTGAAAATCCGACAGATTTATTCCAATGAATCAAGTCTCTTGCTTCTCCACTAATTAAAAAGATGGAGTCAGGCAGAGCTTGATAAGAAATTTTCTATTATTCATAATAATTTTTTTTTATCTTTATTTATTATTATCATACAATATCATCTGTTTACTTATCAATGGTCAATTTTTTTTTCGATATTTAAATATTTATAAATCTCAGTGTTTTTGGTTGAGTTTTCTTTTTTAATAATACTTCTATTTATTTTATACAAATTATGGAGTGGTGTAGATCAATAACAACAGAATTTGACAAGTTGTACCGATCCAAACAATGTCTATGGAAAATAATTCTTATATTCTGTTGAATATAAGAACAAAAATTTGAAATCTGTTGTGTATGATGAACTAAACGAGTTTCTAAAATCTAATAGATTGACTAGTGCTACTGTAAATGAAGTTAAATCTAAAATTCATTATTTTTCAATTGCATATTATTATGTTTATTCATTCAGTTGCGTTTTATCCGCTGACAAGTATGAACGTCTTATCTTCATCGTTGCCCAGTAGTTTTTGTAATTGGTTATTTATCTTACAAATATGAATATAAATAATAATAATAATAATATATAAATATAAATCTTGACTATTCATATATTTTACTCTGGTATGTCTAATTATGCCCCATTGGGGGACGTTCTACATCTCAAAATCGGCCTCAATCGCTCGCGTTACATAGACAATCATCTTCGGTTGAAAATCTTTTAGTTTCTGATAAGAAATGTTCAATTAATAATAATAAAGCGAAGTCTCCATTTGGTTCTCTAACAAAAAATACAAAACCGCATCACCACCTCACCGCTTTCTCAACTGGATAACTGCATGCAGGTCGACCTAGCTATTGTTGTCTCCGATAAGCTGATGGTCTCAACTTATAACAACAAATATAATGACGGTATTATATGCTTTCCAGATAACTATTCAGGACTTTTATATGTGTTAGTTACTACGAAGGGCAATAACAATATGGGTAATTTACATCTAGTGAAACTTGGTAAAGTTATCACAAAATCATTTAAAGGCATTCTTAATATCAAATTTTAAGTTCTAAACGTGTTAAAATTACTTTCGATACAGTCACCAATTATGTTCTAACCTCGCCTTACCACTCTGAAAATGGATTAAACAACTCTATTCCTAGCACTCTTTTATATAGTTTAGGTATTAAACGTTTAGACACCAATGTTTCGGAAAGTGATTTCTGGGATGGTTCTCTGTTGAAGTTACTTCTTTCAGAAGAATAAACTGTAAGCGAGACAACCAACTCGTCCCCTCACCAATCTTCGAATTACAATTTTTGGCTCTGTCCTTACCCAAACATCTAACTATTTACAAGGTTATTTTCGACATTTCTCCAAGTGTGCGCAGTCCCGTCCAATGCGCCAAATGTCTTCGATTTGGACACACTCAAAAATTCTACCGTAGCAAAAAACGTTGTGGCCACTGTGGTCTGACAGATTATAATGCTTCTACATGCCCGAAAAAAACAACCTCCCCACCCTCATGTATATTCTGTGAATTGAACCACCCCTCAACTGATCGCAACTGCACCGAATGGACCAATCAAAAGGACATTAAAAAAATTATGGCCACTAACAACGTGTCCTATTCTGAAGCTGCTTAAATTAAACGCTCTGGTATCGTCAACCCTGCTTTTTCTTTTACTAGTATTGTAAATAAAACTACTGTTTATAATGATACTATTAAAAATATACATGTGCAGTCAACTGGCCCTCATCCTCCTTTCAATTATAATTATTATAGTATTTCCTTCCCCTTTCTTCCTCCTTCATCGCACAAACTTAAAAATAAAAATAAAAATTTAATAAAAAATAATAAGTCTCTCTTCCAACTTCCATTTTCTTAACCTCTTAACCAAGTTTCCTCTTTCCGTAATGGGAATTTTTTTAACTACATGGATTCTATTAACTCTTCTCATCATAATAATAATGTTTGGATAACTCGATTTTAGTGGGCGACATCAATGTGTACCATCCCGCATAACAGTAATCATCGTGGTAATATAATTTTCTCTTAAATCTTCTCATTTGGTTTAAATATTATTAAAAATGGCTCTCCGACTCTTACAAATCGTCTTCCTTATGAAGACACAGACGTTGATATATCAATCATGTCTATTTCTCTATCCTGGTCTTTATCTCGGGCCGTCCTAGACTGTACTTGCAGTAACAACTACTTTCCTATTATTATTTCCTATACAACAATCCTATCTAATCACACAGTTTACCAATTTCCCGTTTTTTCCACACTTTAATTCAACTTTATCAAAGCTGACTAGGGCTTATATTCTGCCTACATCACTGCATATTTGTCCAACTTTTGTATTTCTTCTTCTCCGTTATCAAATTATGATTCCTTTGTTTCAATTCTACTGAAAGCGCGAATGCTTGTACCTATTGTATAGGTATGTCTATACCTATACTCAAAACTTTCAAAAAAAATTTTCTTCCTACCCCTATTTGGTGGAACTCTAAATGTACGGCCGCTGTTAAAGAACGCTCAATTTCTTTTCGTCAGTACAGATCGTCTAGTATACGATCTTCCACCGCTCGCATTCTAAAATATGCAAAAAAAATGCTTGGCATTCATTTTGTTCTTCCCTTAATCCCTCTACATATATTCAGGAACTATGGTTCACTGTCAAAAAATTAAAAAAACTGCATTAATCGTCGTACAGTTTCCTTAAATGAATGTTGGTTTCCCTTGTTTTGTAATATAGTGGTGCCATCTTACGCCCCTTCTCATAAAGAATTAACACCTTCATCTTTTCCTACCCCTAATTCATTTAATTTTTTCACACATCCTTTAACTATGCCCTTTACTGCCAAAAAGTTATCCTTAGCAATTCATTCTCGTTGCTCTTCAGCATCCGGCCTGGACCGTATCTCTCCTTTGCTACTAAAAAATCTCCCTCAATTAGGCTTGGAAACTCTCTGATCAATCTTAAACTCTCTATTGACCAATTGCCTTATACCTGTCCCTGGAGAAATTTTCACGTCATTCCTATCTCCAAGCCTAATTTGTCCCCTACTACTTTTCGACCTATTGCCCTCTCCTCGTCTCTCTGTAAAATAGTAGAATACATATTAAAAATTCGTTTAGATTGGTTACTGGAAAAAAATAATCTCATCCCAAATAACCTATTTGGTTTTAGGAAAGGCTTAGGTACTATGAAGTATTTATCTTCCTTTATAAGACCCATATATGAGCCCTTTTGTAAAAAAAAAATGTTTCCAGTAATATTTATAGATATCAAGGGCGCATATGATTCAGTTCATATACCTACTCTTTTAAAACGCTTAATTGCTATTGAACTACCCACTTCTCTTTGTAATTTTATTTCCTCACTTTTTTCTCATCGCTTATTACACATCTCCTCCCCTACCCGGGTTTCTATTTCTAGTTCTTCTTTTCGTGGGCTTCCATAAGGGAGCTGTCTTAGTCCCATTCTTTTCAATATACATATATATGCGCACTATCAGTAATGATCTCTCCTCCCTCTTTTATACTAATGATATTGTCCTTTTTTCCTCTAATAAATCACTTGATCACTCTGTATCTAATCTCAACAAATCCTTGTCCATACTCTACTAAAACCTTCTCTCTTCTTACTTTACCCCAGCTCCTGAAAAGAGTCAATTTATCATTTTTACCAGAAAACATATACCTCTCTTTATTCCTATTGTCACTTTAGATAGTCATTTAATACCCCCCTCCAATACTATTACTTACTTAGGACTTGACTTAGATACTAAGTTAAGATGAGTTCCTCATTTCCAGTTCCTTTTTTCCTTTGCATCGCGCTGGTCTAATTTTCTCCGTTGTATTACCGGAACATCTTGGGGATCCCACCCCTCTTCTCTCTTATTAATTTTTAACTCTATTATTCGCCACAATTTTTACCAGCTCCAGCACCTGAATAAAGGCTGTTTTATGACAATTATCTTTATTATTACCAGAAATTTCGGTGGCAATTGACATAATATAATTGTTATATTTATTAATTAATTCGCCAAAATTACTCCTTGGTTGACTGGCCTACTATACTTTATTCATTTTCTATTAATTTTGTGTTAATATCATTACCTCACCAATTAGTTGCTTTTTATTTTTATGATGCCACTTAATTATTATAACTTTTTCATTTTCGAGTTCTATAAATTAGTTATAGAAAATTATTTATTAAAAAAAAAAAGAACGTGTATATTTAATATAATCTATTGTTTGGAAAAATGAAATATAATTGTTTATTTTTCTCTAGTCCTTATTTTAGTATAATTATTATTGTTATTACTTGTATATATATATATATGTATGTATGTTTAAAATAAAGGTTAAGGACGACGTTGTTTTCGAATAAAATTTTTAAACGCGTATGTATAAATGGACGTGTAACCTTATCGATATACCCCGACATATAAGTTAGCAAATGGTTAATAAATAAATAATAATAACGTCGGTTCTTGCCATTGAAGATATCTCTAAAATTAATGTAAAAAGTAAAATGTACAGATTATTTCTCAGTCATTCTCAGTTCACGCTTCATCTGGAAATCATCTTTCAACTTCATTATTGATTTCAAGTACGTGCAATAAATGATCCGCTAGATCTATACTTTGTACTTAATAAGTATACTATAAAATAACATATAGATTATACATATTTCAAAGTATTAATTGGAAATATCAAGGCTAATAATAATTATTTCACCAAGAATCTAAAAGATATAGAATTAAGTTTGTGGGTTCATAGTTTAAAAAAATTAACTGATTGCTAAAAAAAATCAATTTAAGTAAATTAAGTTAACTAGAAACGTTTGAACTTAGCAAACCAGTCATTTCTAACCTTTAAATGGGTTTCCTATTTAGTCATTACTTACAAACTCTCACATGCCAAGACAGAGAACTAGCTTGTAATTTTTACTCTACTTGAGCCATTTATTAACACAACTTCATAAGTGACACAAGATTAGATACAATTTGTAAGATTGACTTAATTAATATTAAATATTAAAGAAAGTAATAATTAATCATAATAATTATTAAGTAACGGTACCGTTTTCATTTAGCTAAACATTTTCTTAATTATTACTCCTTGAAATCACAGGTAGGAAAAAAAGACTATTTTATGATAATTTTTTGCCTGACCTCTAATATTTAAGAGGCAAACTTAAAAGTTTATTATTTGTCTTTACTAATGCCCATAATTATAGTCCTAACCATATGTGCTACTAAATAAAGCTTATGTGTTACATGATAATATAATTCATAAATTATTTATGCCAATCATAAAAAACTTATAAGTTACTTAATTTTTTACTTAATTAAAATATATGTGTTTCATAGTAATGGAAAGTTTTATGGAAAAGAAAATTATTTTTAAGGGTCAACGTGTTCATATCGTTTATATTATCAATATTGTTAGTATTATCTTTTGTCGATACCGCAGATAAAATGAATTGTCATCTAATCTGATAGAATCATTTGTAACTTTAAATACACTCTTTCTTTTTAGTGCCTATCTTATAAGCAATATTATTAATTAGCTGTGGGACAGTACTTTAATAAATTCCTATAAAATCACAACATACAGCCTTCAATAATATTATAAAAACTCGATTTTATATACATATACAATTATAAAACTTATACATATACAATTATAAATTATAACCCAACCAAACCAAACCATTTTAAAGTGGTAATAGTTGGGTATTGTTTTTAATTAATCTATCTGGAAATTTGACGTAGCATAGAAACGAAGGAAAATCAATTATTNTTCGATTTTATATACATATACAATTATAAAACTTATACATATACAATTATAAATTATAACCAAACCATTTAAAAGTGGTAATAGTTGGGTATTGTTTTTAATTAATCTATCTGGAAATTTGACGTAGCATAGAAACGAAGGAAAATCAATTATTGAAGAACAATGGAAATAGGTATTCCACGATTATTTCTATGGGTAATAGTTATAAATTTCAATAAAATATCTAGTACAACTCTTTTTTGAAAACGATTAAGTCTAAATATTGGTTTTCACTGTACAGATTCAAATGGGTCATAGACATTACGAAGATACCTTTTTTGCAAATTATGATGTAAATCATCTATCTCTAATTCAATGTTCTCCAAAAAGTTCATAAAATCGAAAAATTTGTCCATAGTTTTATATAAATAAAATATTATTGCGTTGCAAAACACATGAAAAAAAACGTGACTTATCATTCAAAAGTTAATTACAAATGTATCACATAAAGTTTATGTGGTGGAAATCTACCAACACATAACTTAATATATCCCTTAAATATCAATCTATACCATAGAATTGACTAGGCAATGGAATATTGTTAACAATTCCNAAAGATTAATATTCATACAATTAATATTTGTGTATATTATATAATAATATGGTTATTTTTGTTTATAAATTAATATACATACTGGTGTCCCCAAATACAAGTGTAATTACATTTAACAATTAAACAATAAATAAATTTACATACAGTTATATGATATGGTCTAACTCAGTGGTTCTTAACCTTTTTTAGTTCAGCGCCCCCTTATTGTAATAACTAACTGCTAACGCCCCCCCTCATGCAAAATCAAATTTTCTTTATATATATAAATATTTATTCATCAGTATATTATAACATTATTAATTAAAGTAAAAACTCTTATTTTTAGTTACTAATGGTTATATATTACATCACTTAACAAAACAATTTTACTTTACTATACAAAAAGATTCACTTGACTATAAAAAAAAAAATTATAAAATATAAAAATTATACCTATCAATGACTGCCCTGCGCCCGATGACGTAGATCACCTTTGTTGCAAATGTCCAACCGATTTCTTTGTTTCGTTAAAAGCTGAACAACAACGCTGAATCCTTTTTCAACTAGATACGTTGACGGGAAAGAGAGAAGCAACAATTTAACTTGTTGCCATAGTTGTGGATAAGTGTCTTTAAGCTTGACCCAGGCAAGCTCGTATCCGACCTGCTTAAAAACAAGTTGTGCCTCACAGTCGTATTTAAGATCGATAAACTCCATTTGTAAATGAGGTTCGAGATCTAAATGGATCTAAAATCCAATTACAGATTTGTAACTCAAGTAGGTCTTGAAATTTTTTCAAAAATATCTGTATGGTACCCAATCTCAATGTTTCGTTGCTTCAAATTGTCTTTTAAGACAGGATCAATTTTATCGAGAAATTCAATGATAGAGTCAAATAATGCGAAAAATCTTATTGCTAGTACCGCATAGTATCTTATTGCATAGTATCGATTATTTCCTCGAGAGCCGGTAAAATAAGAGTTTCGCCGATTGAATGAGGTTTACTGTTTTTTGCTATCANCTTTCCTTGCATAGTATCGATTATTTCCTCGAGAGCCGGTAAAATAAGAGTTTCGCCGATTGAATGAGGTTTACTGTTTTTTGCTATCAATAAAGACACCTTGTGCGAAGTTACAAGTCCTTTATCAAAATCAGATGTTTGTTTTTTAAATAAACTATTCACAGTAGATCGTTTTTCAATTTTTGCTTTAAGAGCCTGAAAAAACGAATGTGGTTTGTCTAGTTTATCGGAATGAATTTTTGATAAATGATTTTTCAATCTTGATGGCTTCATTGCCTCATTAAAAAATGTTTTTTCACATATAAGGCAAAACGGTAACTGTACATTAAGTGGTGACGCGATAAAACCAAACTTTAAGTACTCTACTAAATACTAGCGACATTTATTTTTTGCACTCATTATAAAAATATTTATATTTTAAATTACTTAGTTAAAATTAAATCTATTAATTATAAAATATATACTAGTGAAGTCGCGATATCAATCTCGCATTGCAAGGTACACTATACAATAGTGACTATTAATAATAATACTATATAAAGACTATTGAATAGTCTTATTTTGGTTGAAAATTTAAAAATAAATCTATAATAAATGTTCCCCATACGTGAAATCCAATTATATAACATGCCTATGCCATTATATAGCGTATGCAATTACAACAATTTTGATTTCACGTTCAATAATTTGTAGTGTTGTTATATAATATTAATAAATTGTATTATTTTTAATCTCCGAGTTTGAAAAAGCTTACCGCACCCTCAACGTCCTCTTCAAAACTATAACCCCCCAGAGAGACCGAAATGCCCCCAATAGGGCGGTACCCCCCCGTTATGAACCACTGGTCTAACTTGTTCACTCTAGAGATTTGACTGACTCTAATGGATACAGCTTCCAACTTTGAATATAGAGGTCTAATAATCACGGAATAAAACCGAAGTCCAAGCTTCTCATTAACAACTTGAAATTCAGTGAGACCGCAACTTTTATCTCAGTCTTTCACAGCGCTATGCAATGGGCCGGAGAACAGCATTATGGTAAAATAAAAAGCGTGTGTTGATTACGTAACGTCAACAAAAAAAAAGGTAGCACAGTGGGTCAAGTACAGTATGATTGTGGCATAGATGGAACAAGTAAAGATGATATCTGACAATGATTAAAATCTCTGTTATAAGGAACGCTTCGATGCAAATCTGTAGATAGTGTTTAATTTTAAGAAATTAGTGTATTATTCCAAGAGCATAATTAACTCTTATTTTTCGTTCAAATTCGATTTCCATTTGTACGTAGAAAATGAGTTGTGGGGATAAATTTTTTTTAGTACGTAACATAATCTTTAATTTAATATATATGGAAATATATATTAAATTTAATTTAATTTATATTTCCGGAACATTTTAAAAACTTAAGTTATATAAGTCGACTTTTGTAAAAAAAAGTTGCTATTTTGAATCCTCTTTTGTGGGTAAGTAAAGGATCAAATTTTCAAAAATATTATAATTCATAAAAGGGAATTACTTAAGGTTTCAATATAAAATAAAATTATTTTGATTTGTTCATTTTTTAATAAGTTATGGCTATATTGAAAAAATGTTGAAATTTACCGATTTAAAAAATTGTAACTTTTTAGGGTATTCACATATTTCACTATTTTGGGTGAACGAGGGAAAAATTTTCAATTTTTGAGGGTAATTTCTTCCACTAAATCCGATTTGTGATCTTTTGACGTATCATTGAGAAAAATCAGTCCAGAGAGAGTTGAGAAAAAGTACTGATAGACACAAAAAAATAATAAAATATATACATAATGGTAAAATTAATATCTTCGCAGCTTCTTAGCTTCAATTTTGTACATTTCTAAGGCTTCTTTAAAGTATATACATTTATATAACTTCTTTTAAATTTGGGTTAGGTATGTCGATGATATTTTTGCAGTTATAAATAAAGATTTTAATATGGGGGTTTTCATACAACATTTAAATTCTTTTTACCCATCGATTAAATTTACATACGAACAAGAAATAGAGGGAAAATTGCCTTTTTTGGATTTATTAGTTAAAAGAACAGAGGNTACATTTCTATGGTTTCTTTAAATTATTTAAATTCATATGTTTATAATTTATATTTAAAAATTACAACAAACCAAAAAATTGTTTTAACAAATATCTTAATAAAAAGAAGTAATCAATAAACATTTTAAACATTTACCAAGTTCTGTTACGGCATTATCTTAACAGTATAAAAAAATCGTTAACACTTTATATTGTTCGTTTTGTAAACTTACATATAAAAAATAAATTCTACTGTAGATCTTATGACTGACCTTCGGAAAATCTGATTGATTCTGCCATATGTTTTTGACATTTTAATTTAATTATTATGTTATCTTATATATATATAAATGAATTGCTGTTCGTTAGTCTTGCAAAAAATCGAGAACGGCTGGACCGATTTAGCTAATTTTGGTCTTAAATTATTTGTGTAGAGAAGTCCAAAAAAGGTTTGAAAGGTGAGTGAATATGAAAATGTTCAGAATTAAATAAAAACATGATTGAATCAAAACGATGACTGAATCACTGGGATGTGCAAGATATGCGTATACCGATAATTTCAACGGATTTACTATTCGATTTTAAACGTCTACACTTTCCCGTACGTCTGGCCTTAGAGATGACCATAAATAAATCGCAAGACCAATCGTTGGAAGTTTGCGGAATCAACTTAAAATTTCCCTGTTTCACGCGTCGGAAACCCGTCATCTTTGTTTATTTACGCACCGCAAATAAAACAAAAAATATAGTATATTAGAAAGCTTTCAATTGATTAACAGACTGTATCATAACTGTGTGTGCCTATAAATATCAAATTGAAATCTTATAAATAGCCAGTATTTTAGGAAAACTCTGTTTTGTAAGTATCTCATTGTTGTGACAGGACTATTTTTTAAGCAAAATCATGTGTAATTAATTGAAAATAATAATAAAACCTCATTCATACCGATCATTTTTTTTTTAAATAATTACGGATTCCTTTTGTTTGTTTTAAGTTTTTTTTATACAAAAGTTTAACTTTTTTATTTATCGATTGAGGCAAACGAAGTCTGACGGGTCAGCTAGTTATATTATATTTTTAATTGTAATTACTAATTTGTTACTAAATATTATTTAGTTATAAATGTTGGTATTGCTGAAACTGGGCTATACACTTGCTCAAATTAAAAAGGTTGTAAATAATAAAATATTTCATTTCATCTGAATAAAAGTAAAAGTAAATAAAATTCTACGCGTAAACCCTTTTTATTCTCAATGTTAAATCCCAATAGTTTATCATTTAATCATCTTGTAACTAACAGATAATTGATAATAAAGTTTCATTATATTCAATACAACATTCTATATATAAAGTAAAAAATATACGGTAGCACAGTGGGGTCGAGGCACAGTGTAGACAAGGCATAGATGGGANTATCAGAAAGGTTTAAAGAAAAGTTGAAAAAAATTACTTTAGAACTAAAAATCGCTCCCCTGAAAAGTATAAAAATTTGTGTTAAAATCTTGTCATTGCAAGGAGACAATTCGTACTTCATCTAAACCTATGTACTGTCGTAGTGGTACAGTAGTACTAAATAAGATATTGTCACCTTCAAAATTCTTGTTGTTATATCTATTACTCATAATAGCAAAAATAAATATCGATAATAATTTATGGCGCATTGAAACCGTTATGGTTGTCTGTAGTATGATAAATTTCTATTTTAAATCCAAATGTTTACACAATTTAAAACACAATTGGTTGATCAAATAAAAAAAGTTTTAAGAACAAAATGGTTGAAAAAAATGTTTTCTATTATATCATCAAACTAAAAATAGGGGTTCAAAAAAAATAAAATTTTAGGTTTTTTATTCCTAAAAGAACTAAAACAAATTAATCAACTATATATTTTTGTAGATTTTTTTAAATCAACCTGTATGTACCTTTGCAAAAATTTAAGATATTCAAGTTTTTGAGTAAATGAGTGTCTTGTTCTTTATCTTTCACCTTCTATATAAACTGCTGTTGTAACCAATACATAATATAAAACTCATTTATTAAATTGTTTAGAATATTTAAGTTTATTATATAATGTATATTTTTGAAAACAACAAATGACAATAACATTGACAAACAAATACACTTAACAACACAAAAAGATAAAGATGTTTAAAAGGCTTTATATACTTTTATAACAGCGGCGGCTCGTGGCTTAGACGACGGGACGATCGCAGCCCTTACTAAAATTAATTAAAAGAAGAAAATTAATTGTATATTCTTAATTCTATATTTTTATTAAAAATGCAAATTTTTAATAGTAAAATAGTTATAATACGTTTGTCGTGTGCAACATTAAAGTTGTTTCCCTCGGTATATGCGGTTACGCCAGCGCTCACGAACAGTGTTTGACGACCAACAGCGTCGTCCGAACAATATTTTAAAACGTATATTATAAACGTGGCGTCCAATCGTGTTCAGCTACGATCTTATGTATAGGTTTTGGACGACCAGCAGCGTCGTCCATACAGTAAAATATTAGTATATTACTAAATTGGGTAATTTATTTTTAGAATTAATACGTGTACGCTCGTCGTTATCGATTGCTATAATTGTGTAATCGCTATTATTGTTATTTTCATTTCTATTTTCTACTGCGAACTTTAAAATAATAATACGTGTATTGTGTTTTATTTTATTTTATTTGACAATTTTTTATACATATAACTAGTGGTATTATGTTTAAGCAAAACCTATTTTGCTATATAAGCGAGCGAGAGAGGTCATCTGGGAGGATGCTAGCTAACCACAGATCCAATAAATAACGCGTAGTAATAATACAAACATAAAAGTAATCATAAAACATATATGTTAAAAGTTCTTTCAAGAATATCTTAATCTTAAGAGGTAGCGGGAACCCTTAAATGACTGGATACTATTTTAAGAGAAATCTAGTGTCTAGTGTTAAAATTATCAACCTCTAGAATTCACCTAAATACTGTAAACAACTAAATGTTTTTCGTTATATATTATTCAGTATTATGAAGTATTTTTTATATTCATCTTTGAAGTCTTGTAATGGTAGCAACTTTATTTTTTTTATACAAACATAGACTATAATTCAGTCTATTATTATCCTTAAATTCATATTATTTCAGTCATTTTTTTTTTATCTGTTTTAAATTTTTTCTACTTGGATTTTCATAAAAATTATTTAATAAATATTTACCTTAAGAACGTCAAAAGTTTAAAATAAAAAATTTATAATGCCAGATGTATTTTTAATATATTTTTTACACTTCTTGTACAACGTATTTAATACAAATTCATTTATTTCATATACACTTTCGTTTATAAATCTACATAAATTGTTTCATCATTTTTAGTTATTATAAGCTAAACAGAAAATGAAAATAAAACTCACTATTTTAATTTTATATTCAATGTCCGTAATGGTTTCATCGTCTAATAGTACAGGCAAAAGAGTAAGTCCAAAACNAGTTTCACCGGCTAATAGTACAGACAAAAGAGTAAGTCCAAAACCCATCTTAAAATATTATCAGTTTTTAATTTATCAACTAATAATCTTTCTGTTTTAATCAAAATAAAGCCTTGCTGTTTTCGTCCTTGTGTAAGCCATTCTATGAAAGTAAGTGTATAAACAAAATAATTTTAAATGTAATTTAAATTACATAGACAGATTACAGAGATCAGTTCGGAACAATATTGCCCAATCTAAAAGTTGGGTCAGGCCAAATCGGACCGTACTATTAATTTTATATTATGAAATTTAAAAATTAGACCAGGCCAGTTCGGGCCTTTAGATTTACATATAAATTTGGATCGGGTTAGACCGAATCTGAAAAAATACATTTTGGACTGACTTGTGACTAATGTTTTATATATATGTTCCAATCGGGCTTTAAAAAAATATCGAATCGATCGGACCATGCTTTTAAGGCCCAAACTCATCTCTGGTATATTTTCAGTTACTAGCTGTAATAAAATATAAAAATTATTCAGTAAAATTATGTTATTTCTGTACTAAAAACCCTTTCAAGAATCACTTTATAAAAGTGAAAGTAAAATAAAAATAAAATACGATTGAATTATAATTAACATTCTTATAAAAAAATATAAGAATGTAATTTTTTTAAGAATGTCAATAAAAATTAATTATCTATAAATTATTTATTTATTTATTAGGATAGTGATAATACTTCTCAGGTAAATATAGAAATACAGTTATTTTTTTAGTTTAGCGATCAGAGGTATATTTCCACGAAGATCTTAAAACTTCATTTTAGGGGAAGAAAATATATTTTTATAAATTTATTGAATAGGGGAGAACGAAGCAAGCTCGCAACGGGGGCAATTTTACTGTGATCGATTATTTATAAAGTAATTTAAGTAGGACAACATATAATGATACCATTATATTTATAAATTTTAAACAAAAATTATTTTTAATATTTTCATCTATGACTAAATAGCGTAAATAATTAGGTCAAAGTAAATTTTTCATTTAATTTTAAAAAATTGGTGTTTTATTCCAAAAGCTACTTGATCTGCTATTTCCTTATTAATATCCTGATTAAGAAAAAGTATGACGAATGAAAAAGGGATATAAATATCTCATAAAAAATTGTGTTCATTCATACACTTTTCAATAAGTTATAACATTATAAAGTTAAAAATGTAAAAATTATCGAGAATTTTCACACAAAAATAGCATTCGGTAACTATTTTCATCGTGAAGACAAAATAAAATCCGAAAATTTTTTTTTCCATAGTAAAGTAAATTACATTAGCTTTAATTTAAGATATACATAAAAGTGTCAGACTTTCCGTAACATTTTCTAAAATTAAGTTGAAAATGTTAATTTTTTGTGAAAAAATTGTCATTTTAAACCCCCCCCCTGTACACAGGTAAAGGGTTACATTAAAAAAAAAATATACTAAATGAAAGGTAATGACATCATGCATCTATAAAAAATAATATATTAATCCATATATTTTTCAAAAAGTTATAGCATTATAAAGTTAAAATATAAAAAATAATTTTTATACAAAAATCGTATTTTTTCATTAAAAATCATTTTTTTCAAGTTTTGAGGTTAATGTCTTCGACTAGATACGATTTGTGATTTTTTGACGTATCGTTANCTCTGATTTTCTCTAAAAAAAAATTGAAAAAATTTCGAAAATTAGCGATTTTTAAATTTATAATTTTTTGGAGGTTTCCCCCATTTCCAGGGAACGAGGGAATTTTTTTCAAGTTTTGAGGTTAATGTCTTCGACTAGATACGATTTGTGATTTTTTGACGTATCGTTAAGAAAAATCGGTTGTGTAAGATCTGAAAAAAAGTGGTAACAGACACAAAAAAAAACACATTATAGTAAAATTCTCAGCTTCGAAAGTTCGAATCAAAGCTAAAAATTGTAAACAAGAAAATTTCTTTTGTACTGTGTAATGATATTTATTAGTCTATATTAACTTATTTCCACCAATGCATTAAATTCTATATGATTTAACTAAGTAATGAAGAAATCGGTTCGGTGAGAGGTAAGAAAAAGTAGTAACAGACACAAAAAAAAAAAATAAATAAAAATAAACACATTTTAGTAAAACCAATACCTTCTAGTTTCCCATCGAAGCTAAAATATGATTTTTGTAAAAAAATTATTTTTTATATTTTTAACTTTATAATGCTATAACTTTTTGAAAGATTTATGGATCAATATAATTCTTTTTTTTATGGATGCATGATGTCTTTAACTATTATTTGGTATATTTTCTTTATATATCTGACTCTGTACCTGCCTACAGGGGGGATTCAAAATGACAACTTTTTCACAAAAAATTTACTTTTTCGACTAAAGTTTGAAAGTGTTCCGGACAGTCTGACACTTTTATATATATCTTAAATTAAAGCTAAAGTAATGTACTTTATTATGAAAAAAAAAATTTCGGACTTTATTTTGTCTTCACGGTAAAAACAGACATTAAAGTTATTATAAAAAATATTATTTTTGTAAAAAAAAATTCTTTTTTATATTTTTAAATTTATAATGCTATAACTTTTTGTAAAGTGCATGGATCAATACAATTTTTATGGGAAATAATATTAATATCCCTCTGTCATTCGACATAATTTTTTTTTAAATAACACCATTTCCTTTTATATATATATTTATATATTTATTTATGTATTATAAATATATATAGATATTTATTTATTCATATATTACACTTATAAATCATAAAACTTGTAATCAGGATATTAATAAGGAAATAGGAGATCATGTAGTTTTTTGAATAATCCATCAATTTTTTAGAATTAAACACTATCTACAGATTTGCATCGAAGTGTTATTTATGATAGTGATTTTACTCACTGTCAAATATCATAATGCTTGTCCCAACAATACCACATCGATACTGTGCTGGGTTTTTAAATAAACATGTAGCATATTTGAATTTATGTTTCCAAATTCGAATATAAAAATTGTTATGTATAAATAATTTTAATTCTGAGTTTTCATCTATGACAATATTCATATTTAAACAAACAAAATATTTTTTTCAAAAGTATACGTTTATTACGAATTATTATTTTAAATCAAAAATAATTTTTATTTTAGGACACCTTGGATGAAGTAACTGAAAAAACTAGAGATATGGTAAAAACAATTTATATTTAAATGTATTTTATTTATAATAATTTAAAAACTGAATAAACTTATAATTCTAGAACAAACTACTTGATATTTTTAAGTTTAAAATATAAAGCTACTATGAACTCAAATTATTTTCTAAAAACTCTCCAATAAATTGATTATACTGGATATTATACCAGGTTTAATTTAATCATTTTTAATTCAGTGATATTTTGAATTACTTTATTTTTAAATAATTTTTACAGACTTTGACTCAAATTAAATTATATTATATCACAATAAGTACTCTCCCAATAGTTATTATTGTCCCATCAAAATTTTATAAAAGAATAGAACTGAAAATCAGCTGTTTTACACATTTTAAAAAAGTAAAAAAAAAATTTTATATTAGAAACAAATAATAAAAAATCTTAACCTGTAAAAATTATTTTAAAAAAAATTACACAAAATATTTATTTCATCAAAATATATTAAAGATGTCAAATCTGTTGAGTCACCATATATACATGCTGAAAAAGGAAAATATATAATATAGACAAAAACATGATAAAAACTTAAAAACTTTTATAAAATTGTTTTGAGTATATCTCATTAAATTATATAGCAATCAGATAATACATACTATTAATTTAAATGCTTTTAAAGATAATATTTACATTTATAGTTTATTCTTTGTTAGCGTAATAACACATGATAAATTTCTGAAGCAAGATAATAAATTAAATAAAAAATTTAATTAACTGTTCTTTTAAAACTTCACAATTCACTTTTTAACCGTTACTGAAAATTCTCTAATAGAAAAAGTATTTGTCATAAAACTAATAACAAAAATATTAATATCTATTAAGTTGATATGCAAACATGATTGATCTCTTTTATAAAAAAAGTTAAATATATTTGAATTGATTGACGTAATGTGTGTCTCCAAAGGGCAGAAATGGATTTAAGGAGCTTACAATTTCTTAATATTTATACAATTTTTCAGTGGTAATATTTTAACAACTTTTGGTTAATCCGTAATTAAAATTGATTATTGAGTTTTAGTTACATGATAAACTCTTACGATCATCATTTTTAGATACATCAGAAGGATTTTTATTAATTGGGTATTAATTTAAAATTCATTGTTGATCTAGAGTTATTTAATTTTTTAATGACGTCTGATTGAATAAACTGATGTAAAATACTATACGTAATAAATCAATTTTGGAACATTTTTAAATAGTTAAATCATCAAACTAAAATTAAATACTTTTTATAGATTATAAAAATTATTCATATTTTTATGCTATATTTTACCATATGATTACTACTTGTATTTTAAGTTTATAAAATAGTTAGTTTTAGTTTTTATTGAGGTGGACATAATGCCCATGCACTCAGACCTGTTGGTCCATTGTGTGCACCCCATACCGAATTGTCTTGATTCGGTTTACCCACGTAAGTCTTATCACCAAAGTGTTATTACATTATACCTATCATTGTATAAGGGTGGACCATCAAGTCTCCCCTATGGATGATAAAAGAGTCCTGTCTTTCCGGCGAAACAAAGTATCTCTCTGGGTCTTAGATTTCTTAGATCTTCTTTTTCAGGAAAGAGTTTACTCAAGTAGTTTAAAATTCCTTAGATTTAGCCCCTTAATCTGGTCACCATTAATCCATGGTTCCTGAATAAGTGCTATTTGTAAGGGTATTGTATGCCTCTCAGTTAGGGTCCTTAGTAATACATTACTGGCCCCCTTACTGTGATGCAGGTTTATTTTCGTGAATTGAATTCTATTGTCAGGGATTCAGAAAAACTGATGTGGACGCTTGAGAAAGCACGCTGTACTGGGTGTGATACAAGTGTCTGTAATAGTCCCTGTATTACATAACCCTCTCTGTGGGTGGTGTTCCCCCGCCGTCCCCAGGTGGCGACCGTTCCTTAGGTTTGCTCTTCACATTTCTTTTTGGATCTGTGGAGAGGTTCCCCTCAGCTGCGGCCGTTATTGAGGGTGGCGGTTTCATGGATCCCTTTCCCTTACGTAACACACTTCCTCCCTTTCCTTTCGAGGCAGTAGTGAAGTGTGTCCGTTTGTTCTTTACCTGTGCCTTACCTCCTTTTCCGAGTGACACTGGTGATTCCTCAGCCTTCCTCTTCCCAGATTTTTGAAGTGTGGATTTTTTCACATCCTTCCAGGCTGGTGGCTGCGTAAATTGGTGGTATCATAAAAAAATTTTAATTTTAATGAATTTCGAACAATTTTAGTACAACTCATTAAGTACAAACACTTTGATACATAAAGTGGTTATGTAGTGAGTTTGGGTACCCTAAAATGTAAAATGTTGTGCCCAACTAAATATGTATTGATGGAAGAGTTATTACGTACTGTGTTAATTTTCAATATTTGAAACTACATTTTTTTGTCATAATACTAGCTGATTCAATTAATCTACTTAAAAAAAATTACTTATTACTACAATATATTACAAGCTATATGCTATAAAAAAAAAAAATTATACTTATACCCTAGGTAATTTTAATTACTTTAACCAATATTTTTTAGAAATGTTTGTTGTTGTTTTTAGTTACACCAATTAAGCCAAAAAGATAACAAATCAGATACAACATTTCATGAATTTGTAAATAATCTAAAAAATGCCTTAGACAAAATATTAGAAAAGGTAAAATTTTCAAATTATAACAACAGAAGTTTAAAAAGGAAATTTAAAAAACGGTAGCACTGTTTGACCGCAGTACAGTGAGGACGTGACATAGTTAAGACAAGTATTGATGATATCATACAGTAATTAAAATTACTATCATAAGAAAGGCTTCGATAAAAATCTAGAATTTTAAAAAAAAGGTGGATAATTCCAAAAGAAATTTCGAATCCTATTTTCTTAGATATATACTAATTAGTAGTTCCTTGATTTATATATATAATATATGAGTATATACTTTAATTTAGTAATTAAATTTAGTATAAATTTGATATTGAATAATTTAATATTGTAATTTTTACGGTGATATTATAAAAAATTTTATAGTAGTTCTATATTTCGTTAGTTCTATGACATACATGTATAAAAATTCAAGGACTTAATTAAAAAATTTCTAGAAAATAATTTTTTGTTAATTATGAGTAAATGCACTGGTCTATAATCAATATCCATCATAATCAAAATCATTAGAAATTTATATAATTACTATATACAGTAAATTTATAAGAAAAGTTCAAAACTTCGATGAAAACACAATTTATAGCTTCGATCTGAAACTGAAAATAGTATTTTACTATGATTTATTTATTTATTTTTTTTTTGTGTCTGTTACCACTTTTTCTCACTGAACCGATTTCTTTCAATGATACGTCAAAAGATCATAAATCGTATTTAGTTGAAGACATTACCCCAAAAAATTTTTAATTTTCCCCTCATTCCCCGTAGAAAATGAAGAAAATCACCCAAAAAATTACGATTTTTAAAATCAGTAAATTTCGTCATTTTTTTCACTTTTTTTTCTAAAAATACCATAACTTATTGAAAAATGATGAAATAAAAATATTTTTTTTATAGTAAACCTTAAATATTTTCATTCCAATTGATATTATTTTTTTGAAAATCTGACCCTTTACCTGCACACAGGGGAGATTCAAAATAGTCACTTCTGCACAAAAATTTAATTTTTGAACATTTTCCGGAAATATTGATACTTTTATATAATCTTAAATTAAGGCTTATATTATATATTTTGTAGTTTATGTAATAGTCTGTGTGATATACTTAACTATGAAAATAAAATTTCGAAATGATGAAAATGGTTATCATATTCAATAATATGCTATTTTTGTGTTAAAATGTTTATTATTGAATTTTAATTTATTTTAATATACCTTATAAGGGGAGTAACTTGAATTTCATGAATATTATATAAATAAATGTAATTGACATAGAACATAGAATTAAACTTATTTCAATTACCTTTTTCTTTTAAGTCAAAAAAGTAATTTTAACATTTGAATCAGCTTAAATTGCCAATTTTATCAAACAACGAATGCCAGTTATGATAATAACATCTATACTTGTTCCAACTATGCCACAACCATACTGTGACATGCCCCACTGTGCTACCGATTTTTTGTGTGTGTTTTTATCGTAGTAAATAAATTTAATAGAAATTATAGTAATCATTTCTATATAACTTTTAGTGTATAAAAAGATGCTGGAATTGAAATATTCTTAATTCATTTTTTAATTATACAATAATTATTTATATTGATATATTGTTGCTCATATAACATTCTTTTTGTTACGTATTTTTTAAATTAAAATATATTTATTGATTCGTAACCTAATAATCAAACATAAATATTTATTATATTAAAAGGATTTTGTTGTTATTTAGTCTATAGGCGAAACTATACCTTTGTGTTAGACAAGGCAAACAAAATTGGATCCTGTTTCAATGACTTTTTTTTTGTGTTCTAGTCAAACTAGGAGATTTTAGTCTACAAGTTAGAGCCAATTTTTTGTGTGAGACAATAAATAGAAAGTAGAGGGAAAAGAAGAAAAAACTGTATGGTATTTATAGATTTGGAGAAACCTTATGATAGGTTGGATAGAGGCATTTGTACCAGAGTAAAAAGTTTGAGTGGAGTAATAAAAGATTTTAGGGTAAGACTTAAAGTGCACCAAGGTACTGCTTTAAGCCCTTACTTATTTTATATAGTAATGGATAAAATTACTAGAGAAATACAAGGAGAGGTACCGTGATACATGTTGTTCGCTGACAATATAGTGTTAATAGGAGAAAATAGGGGTAAATTGATCAAAGGCTATAGGTGTGAAGATCAGCTCTTGAAGGAAAGGGATTAAGAATATGTAGGCGTAATACATAGCATATAGAGCACAAGTTTAACAAAAAAAAACACAAAGTAGGTGAAATGAGGAGACCAGTGACAATAGGCGAGGACGTGATTGGTGAGGTGAAAAGTTTAAAGTATTTAGGATCAATTTTGCAAAAGAGCGGTGGTATGGACGAGGATATAAAACATAGAATTAAGTTTGTGCGGGTATAGTGGAGAAAAGCGTCTGGTGTCTTATGCGACAAAAGTATTCCAATGAGACTGAAAGGTAAATTCTACAAGACTGTAGTGAGACCAGCTATGATGTATTGTTCAAAGCGTTGGGTGGTTGATAAGAAAGTAGAGCAGAAAATGAGTGTAGCTGATATGAGAATGCTTAGATGGATGAGTGGAGTAACTAGAGAAGATAGGATAAGAAATGACTATATAAGAGGGAGTATAGGAGTAGCGTCAATCGTAGATAATATAATAGAAAATAAACCTAGATGGTTTGGTCATGTTATTTGGAGAGAAGAATCGGAAGCTTTAAGAACAGTTATAGATATTAATGTTGAAGGAAGAAGAAGTATTGTACTTATTATATTATAAAAAAAGAAATCGGTAGATGTGAAGTTTAATAAGGGTGGCCGACGCCAAGTAGTTGCGATAAAGATGAGGAATAATAAGAAAAACAAAATATTCTGATTACAAGTTTTATGTTTAAGTATTAAATTTAATTAATTTGATTGTATAAAATATTTAATAATAACAATTTTTTTAGAAAATTAAATTTTCAACGATTATTGTATAAAAAATTTAACAATAACTAATATCGTTCGACAGATATAACAAATTATATATAAATATAGCAATTTCGACTAGTTGAATAGTTAACTATTTTGTCATTTAAAAAAAACTTTGCAGAAAATATAATTAAAAATTAAAATATAAATATATAATTACGAATTTTGTACATTATATTTAGTTCTATATTTTCTATATATTTTTTTTTCACTGAGCACTCATTTATGGGTCAAAAAAAAAATAAAAAAACTACCCATTATTTTGGCCAATTTTTAACCCCAATAATTAATTTATTTGATCGACCTGAAATTTGTATGGTTTCTATGTACACCAATAGGTTTGGGGGAACAAGTAAGGCCTAAGAATTTTCTTTAACTAAGAAATACCTTAATTAGTGTATTCGATTTTACTTAAAATAATAAGTTTTTTGTAAATTTTTTTTGGTTTTTCTTAGTTACATATGTAATTCCATTTATCTGTTATAAAATATTTGTTATGTTCATTCCTTATGTTGTATAATAAGGGCTTCAACTTTATTTTTTATAATAACAACACACAAAATTAACTAGTTTAATTATTAGATAATGATCTTACTATGAAAATGACTAGTTGATAACAACCTTTGGAAAGCTAGTTAAAATATTTTATAACAGATAAATGGAATGACATATGTAATTAACATGACTTCTCAAACATTTTGTCCAATTGCACTTTTCAAAATATTATGTTTTAAATAATGCATTTTTAAAGCATAAAATAGTAAAAATTTGCAAAGTCTTTAAATAAAGTACATACTAATATTATATTTAAAATTATTGAATGTTATATAGTATAAAAATTCGTCAAAGGATAATCCAGAAAATACAAAAAAACTTCATTCTGCCGTATCCAAAGTGTATGAGGTAATAGATAAAGTAATATTAAATTTTTATTAAACTTATTTTAATTAAACCAGTAATTTATTATATAATTTTCCATGAATACAAATTAAAATTAACATAATTTAATAAGTTTTAAAATTCAGTAGACAAAAGTTACCCTAAAAAATGATTTAGCGGTAAGGCCTAGGAAATAAACATGTCAAATTTTTGGTTGCAATAAAAATGAAGCAACTTCATAAATAAAATTTAAAACTTATAAAATTTGAATAGATCCATAATTTACATAAGAAATCATGCTGTTATTAATACTTTTACTAAACATATATCACAAAAGAACTAACTTTTAGAAATAAGAATAAAAACTGTTTAAATATTATTAAAAATAATAAGTGGAAAATTACTGGTGAATTTAAAGCTTAAATCATTTACATTAAAATTTTTTTTAACTACAATAAATAAACATTAATATGTTCATAATAAAATTCTTTACCACTAAAAATTGTTGAGGCTCTATTGCCTTTCTAAACCTCTTCATAAATACGACTCTATACGCAATAATAAAAATAGCATAACCCACAACTGGCTTCCAGGCTTCATTCATAAATGTTAATAACTTCCAAAATACTGGTTCAAATGTTATTGGACCCATCATTTTCTTTGTTATATAATTTTACGTTTTATGAACTAGTTAAGTATGTATGTCATAATTTATCAATAAAACTTATTTATAATTCAATAGTTATAAATGTTAGACATACGCATTGAAAAAAAAACCAAAAACATGTTTACGTGTCAAAATGACAAAATTTAAAGTAATTTTCTTTCTTAATTTCTTTTATTTCAAAATATTTATTTTCAGTTAACACTCAATAGAAACAAAAAGGATGGCGTATAGTATCACTATAATCTGTCATTAAAATTAATTAGTCCGGTGACTTGATATCAAGTTCTGGGAAAACATTTGTTTTGATCTTCAGACTTTAAGCACTTTATGATTACTGTTACCTTTCACAAATATCACAAAACTGACTTATAATNAATTTCTTTTATTTCAAAATATTTATTTTCAGTTAACACTCAATAGAAACAAAAAGGATGGCGTATAGTATCACTATAATAAAACATTTGTTTTGATCTTCAGACTTTAAGCACTTTATGATTACTGTTACCTTTCACAAATATCACAAAACTGACTTATAATTAATGCTTACTGCACTCTCAAGACATTTTAGATTTGACGCCAAAAATAACAACGCGTATTAGACTACTCGCGGTGAATACTATCTGATGTAATCAGCTAAATCTACTTAATAAATAATAAGTCAATAACAGCTTACGAACTAGTATTTGAGAACTTATTAACATTTTAAAATGTAAACTGGGATGAGTCACTTGTAATTATTTTTTCTCACTTGCTCAATATAACTAAAATTTTTCTAAAATTATTTTTATTTTGAGTTATTGAGTATACCTTGTATGTGCATAATCTAACATTAAAATTATTATTATATGTAATTTTATAAAATTTGAAAAATTTTTATATCAGTAAAAAAATTAATTTTTAAATAAAACCGTATTTTACATATTTCTTAGTTTAAATATAATGACTTATATTATTTTTAATTTCATATTTATTCATACTTACGAAGTTCATTGATGTTTAACATATAATGTTTTTTTATAAATATTAAGATAAAAATATATTGAGGAATAGAAAACATAAATAAATAATTTCTCTTTTTATAAAAAGGGAATTGTTACATAAATTATTTTTTTTCTTATCAATTTTAGGCATTAAATAATGATGAAAATCAAATAAATGAAAACAATAATAATGATAACGAAACAGATGAAGTCAATGCAATTTCATGCTTCGGTTTTAAACCAGATAAATTGATTGCGGTAAAAAACTTTCAATATGTGCAGATAAATTTTTTTCCCTAAATATCTAATTGATACTTAATCATACTCATAAAGAGTGTTTAATTAATATATATATATGGGATTTAAAATAATATGTAACAATTAATCACAAAAAATCGAAAGAACATGTCTTTATAAAACAATATAGTACTTTAATTAAGGTCACAAAAATTTTAGAAATTTACAGTACGTCTTTCCAGTGTTACGTCTTAATAACAACAACCAAAATCTATTTCCATAGATTTTCAAAGAAAACTATAACCATGGAAAATATTTAATTAATAAACCCACATACATTTTTTTTTGTGAATAGATAAACAGGCATTATGCAACACTTCAGACAATGACGTATCTCAAATAGATATTTTTCTTATTTCATATGTGTCCCTGGCTTGTAGATCTTAGCTTTCTGTAGTAACACAAATAAAAAATTAATTAATTTTAGATAGATAGTTAATTTAATAGTAAATAGGTGTAGGTGAATAGTCGCCGTTGTTTCGTCAACTAATATTATCCAATATAATATACGAGACCCTTTGTGATTGAGTTACTAATAAATAAAATAAATTATCTCTGACGGGGTGTGGATAAGAGGGTTCGTCAAGAACAGACCTGAACTAAACCTACGAATAGTCAGGATCTGCTAGAATACTTGTATAAATGAATGCGATAAAAATGTAGACTATACATTTCTTAGCGTATAATAGTTGAACAAGCTCAGCAATAATTATTTTATAAACCTTTAAATAACTCACCTAAGGTTTTGTATGTGATTCAAGATTTTATAATGTAAAGGTAACGAAGTTGAATAAATTTGAAATCTGAATAAATTCTAGTCTTCACTTCCACTTCTTCTACTTTCACTTATAAGTTGAACGTCAGTCCGCGTTTAACTAGCTATGCTTTTTGGGATAGTTTATTTGGAAACCTTTTAATTCGATTATTTTTATGGATGATCTCGATTATAAAATGACACCATCTGTGATTCTTTATATAAAAATTATATAAAAAGTGTTATTGTACAAAGTACAATGAAATACAGTTATGCATGTATAGTATTAGGTAGCCACGCGCTAGAATGACTTATCTACATAATTTAAAGTACATTATGTGTCTAAATTATAAAGGTTACATATTTTGAATAATTTAGATGTAAAAATTGATTAAATTTTATTTAGAATAATTAAAACATAAGAGTTTATGTATATTACAACATTTATATTGGATTAAATTTCGTGCAAACATTAATAATATCTATTGAGAATGTGTCCAGTGTTAAATTTATAATTATTTATTAATGTATAGTTGAGTTTCTTACAAACAATTGTTCCATTTAACAAATTATTAAGTTCCGATATTTTTATACACTTTGATCGCGTATCATTTTTATTTTATATGATTTCATCAGTTGAATATATATTTAATTTTAACTCCTATTTATGGTTTTTATACAATTTATTTGTAATCATAACTTTTGGATTTATTATCTGAATAACTTTATTCTCCTATCAAGTATAAATAAGTATAATAACTTATTTTTTTAAGATTCACTAATTCATACCTAACAATTGTTTGGTATGAATTATTTTAAAAGTATGTGTTTACTGTGTCATATTAAATATTATTTTTGACTTCTTCATTAAAAGCTGTTACATCTATTATTTATTATTTGTCTATTTGATAAATTGCTATAGTGTTATGACTGTCTTTAGATTCGGTCCTAATATTTGAGGCATTAGTTTCCATACTTGATACATTTAGTCAAAATATGTGATTGTAGTTCCCCATGATTCGCACATTGATGCTTCTTTTCCTCCAATTGAATATTCATGAGTCAATCGGTGGGTATGACCTATTCTCAGTCAGTTAATTATCATATTATCTATCCTTTTGGGTAAGTATCTAAGCCATTTATCTGTTTCTCTTATTATTTCTCTAAGTTTGTTGTTTTCTTTGTTCCATACATATTCCTATTCATATCTTATGTTTTTTTCAGTGTATTTTTTTAAGTATCCATATGAAGCAGTTTCTTAAATTGTAGCTTCATTATTTGTAATTGATTTTTTAGCATACTCATCTGCTGTTTCATTGCCATGAATTCCTAAAAAAAAGAAATAATATTACTTTCATAACTTTTTTACTATACTAGTTTTGACCAGAAAAATTTAGTAGGCATTTTTATTGTTTTTTAATCGTTAACTAAATCTGCTTTCTGTTCACTTTCAAAATTCGAAACTAATCAATCACTTGCCGTATTGAAGGCATAATTGATTTATTTTTTTACTATTACTTTAATTTTAACTCAATAAAATAAAATGTAGATGGCAGTTTTCATCTGATATACTAATTTATGCGCAGACGTGTGACGATGAGCGTTACAGATGAGTAGCCAAATTTATTTATTTACTTTTATTTTTATTTAAAAATGATTCAATAAATCCTTCATGTTAATATCATCTTAACAAACACGTTATAACTTTCCCACTCTATGTTTTAAAATGCTTGTAACTCAATGAGTATTTGCCCTGAAATTACTAATGACCTAACACAATTTTTTTGTAAAAATAGGGCTAAAAATGGCTATTTTAATTAAAAATCTAAAACATTTAAAAAAAAAAATTTTCTTATTNGGCTAAAAATGGCTATTTTAATTAAAAATCTAAAACATTTAAAAAAAAAAATTTTCTTATTAATAATAAATAATAAAAAATATGTTTTTAAGGTAGTCTAAAAAGACAATAAATATTTTAAAAAATAATAATAATAACAAAATTATAATTGTATCAAAAGTTATTAGCGTTGTCAGTTGGGTCTGAGACATTATGTATACTTAACTGATTTATAGGTCAATCTTCATAAATCAGGCGAGATTTAGTCATTGCACATCGAGTGAGTCGGACCCCTACATGTATCCCTAGTATTGATACCTCAAACACACAAAAATTGTATTTCCGAGATAAAAACATTATCGAAAGGTTATACACAAATAAAAATGTTCTATTACTTAATATCAAAAAAATTCCAATACGATATTATATGTGTTACAAACGTTGCATATTTTTTGAAGAGTATACTTAGTATAATTATTTCAGGCTTACAGACAAAATGGTGTAACAGGAGCTTGTATTGAAAATAGCAAGATTATGATGAAAGNCAACAGGAGCTTGTATTGAAAATAGTAAGATTATGATGAAAGAGATATTCAAAATTGCAGTCGAAGAGTTTAAAAGTATAATGGAAGATTGGGAAATATGATATTATCACTTATAATATTAACATAAAATATAATGTTATCATTTGTACATGTATGTCACATATTATGAATATACAAAATAACCAAAATACAGTTTCTTTCTTTAAAACACAAAATAATTTTATATATTAAGACAAAATCTAATTATAGTGCAGATTTAAAGAAATGTGCTATACGCAGGGTTTCCATCAGAATTAACCAATCAGAAATAAAATTCTCAGCATCAAAGAGTACACTAGGGATCGCTAGACTACCTTCCTCTGACTATAAAAAGACATTTTCGCAATTAAAACCCGTTATTTCGGTCAGTAGCGCCAATGACAAATTTTTATAGATATTACATGATAAAAAAAAATTTATTAAAACACCACTACTTCCAAATTTTATCTTCGATGCGTAGCTGAGAAGGCATTTGTTATACCATGATATCATTTTAGCTTTGATTCGAAACTGAAAAGTTATTAATTTTACTATAACATTATGTTGTATGCGTATGTTACCACTTATTCTCAGCTCATTCTGGAACGATTTTGATGAACAATACGTCTAGGTATAGATTATTACTAAATATATATATATGTATAGTACATAATAAAGATAGGAACCTACATCTTGAAAATATCCTCTACGTTCACCCGCCAGTCTTATGGCTATGTCCTGCCTTTTTGATAACGTATAAGCAGTTGACGTATAGGATATCAAAAGAGGTGTATTTTAATAATATTTACATATATTAACGAGGTAAACTATATCCACGCCAGCGAATGCTTTACGCTAAAAAACGTTGTGTCACTACAGTCTTTTTGATTATATTTTGAATATAATGTAGATAGACATTCTTGTAATTAAATTTTGACAAGTTCAGAGTGAGTTTTAAGAATATCGATATCGACTATAGGGAATTCATCGAAAATATTATTAGTAAAAAAAATAATAAATCATAATATAAACACAGGTTCCATTGTAGTAAATACTTTTAAGTGCGTATTTCATAAACGACATATACTGTTGAAGTAATAAAAGCGCGTATTGATGATTAATATCTAATATAAACACAAATCTAAGTAATTAAAATAAACACAAGATCCTACAAACGATTGTTAATACTGAACCGAGAAATTACTATAAGATTAATTCAGAAAACTACAAAAGGAAATAAAAGTAAGTGCGAATATTTATTTGCATGTTTTACTCCTTAAAAATCTACGTAAGAAACAAGAATAGGAAAAGGTGAGGTACCCAAAAATAAATACTTATCTCCTTCCCTGTTATTTATTTACTTTTTTAGCTTCGTTACGAAGCTGAGAATATATTAATTTTACTGTGATATAATTTTTTTCTTTTTGTTTGTTACCACTTTTTCTCAGCTCTCACCATACCCATTTCTTTCAACGATATGTCAAAAGATCACAAATTGTACATATTTAAAGACATTACTCTCAAAAATTGAAAAAAATTCCCTCGTTCCCCGTAAATGGGGGAAATCTCCAAAAAAAATTCAAATTCAGAAATCGTTAATTTTCTACATTGTTTCAATTTTTTTTTACTTAAAACTGCCATAACTTTTTTAAAAATGAAAAAATTATTATAATTTTTTTTCAATAGATATATTAAGTATTTATCTATCATTTAGTATATATTTTTTATTGATCTGACCGTACACCTGCCTACAGAGTGGTAATTCAAAATGACAACTTTATCACAAAAAATTAATTTTTAACTTAACTTTTGAAAGTGTTCTGGAAATACTGACACTTTTATATATATTTTAAATTAAAGCTTATGTAATGTACTTATACAATACTTATGTATTGAATATTGTTAATAAGTAAAATATATCATATACAACTATATCATTTTATAGAAAATAAATAATTTTATATAATAAGAATTGATCACTTGGGGCTAATTAATTAAATAAAATTAAAACTATATTTAAAATATTATTAATTTAAAAAACAAAAACTATTAAACTCAAAAACCATTAAAAAAATTACTGAAAAGTCACGAATACGTATTTCGGAAACAATGTTACTGTTATCAACGCTAAACATATACTGACACCCCGACTAGAAAAAACTCCCTTATATACCCCTAGTGACCTTATCACCTAGTGAAGTCATCACTAAGTATTATTATCACATTATGCCAGTTTCCACAAATTAATAATGAATTTTTCAGTGGGCCAAGATCTCAATTAATTTAATTGTTTTTATTTTTAAACATTTCTATTGCATTTAAAATATATCACCAAAACCGTGTTCTCAAAGGATAAGATAAATAAATAATACTCTTCTTTTTAGTTGCTGGAACTTAGAAGAATTATAGTACATCTTATCTTGGGTTGAATACTTTTGGTAATAAATAATTTCAACATATAAAACATATTGGTATTTATTTATTCATTAAATTTTTATTACACACCGTACACATTATTAGATTGCATTATTTCCATTGTGTTATATCCATTATTGAAGGGCCACAACCTGACTGGGCAGAGTACAAGTAAAACAGTATCACAATCAATGTTTTAATTATCATAAGTATTCTCTCCACTTATTGACAGCCAGTTATGATTTATGCTGGTTTCCGAATGAAAATTGCGCGGTCAGTCGGAGTATAGGACACTAACATAACTTTATGTGGAAATATCTATAGTACAGTGCATATAACCTAGATCGTTCTTTAAGTTATTGATAAGACATAAAATATATATCTAATGGCTTTTGCATAAAGATAACATTATTATTTGAGATTTCACGTTTGCATTACCAGCTACGAAATACAAATGTATATTGTAGTCGAAATATTATACTAATTACCCAAGTAATTTGAAAATGTCATTCCATTTGTCGACCACCGACCATTCTCATCTCTGACGTATTCCGAAAGGAAATAGTGCGAGCAATCGGAGTGTAGTACAATCTACTATGCAAAGGACTTAAATTGAGCTCGTATCTACTTTAGGTCTTTCCATGGATGACTAAAAAAACGTAGACCACTTGGAAATAGTTTATTGCACAGGACAGTAATGTTTTTTATAGTCTTATTACTAGTTTCGCAAATTTTTAAGCTAATATAAAATATTACTCAGAAAGTCAAAAAGCATACAATTTAAATATATAAAAAGGGTTAACATAAAATCTCAAAAGGATATTAAATTTGGTTTTTACGTTGAGTACATTTAATATAAAGTTGTACTGGAGAAATAGTTAAACGCAAATTAATATAGTAATAAAAGTCACGTAGTTTTAAGTCCGGAAAAGAACATATATGCTTGTTAACTTAATAAGTTTAAAAAATAATTAATTAATAGATAAAAGTTAATAGAGTAGAGTTCAACGATATGTTTATATATCATCATTAAGTATCCTTATTCCCTAGAAACATTTTCTATTTTAGGTACGTAAACACGTTAACCTAAAATTATTGTTATCTGAATTGAGCTGGTATCTAGAGAATTCAATACATCTTTATCCTAACCACCTTGAAAATGTACAAATAAGTACGGATTCATGTCAAATTAATTTCAATTCTAGATGAAAACACATTCCTTGCATTTTACATAATAATACTCGACTATTAAAAATATGCAAAATCTCCTTAATCCGTCACATTAGGTCAACGTAACACATTTTAATTCTGATTAGGACTCACTTCAATTAGTAATACTTCACAAATTATTATTCAATTTCATTATAATTAACAATTAACACGACTAAAAGAATTAGTTTAATGAATAAACTAAAATTATAATAAACAATAATGATTTATATTTAGACATTAAAAGCTTTTAGCGTGGGTGTGCGCCAAAAGAGTGTGATTATTGTCACTGAGAATTGGTGTCACAGTTCGATTTTTTTCTTGAAGATCAGTGTCCTTAATGGTTAATGTAACAAAGTACCGTTTGTTCTTGTCTAACTTGTCTGTTGGTAAATCAATGACTTGTGAACATGATCCATTTTCAAAATGCAATGTTATAGGTTTGGATGGATCAACGTTCCTTAAACATCGAGTAGCTCTCGGACCATCTTGTCGAATGTCCGGTAAAAACCGCTGTCGATCAGCTACTAGTTTTGGCATTCGATGATGATTAAGTTTTAATTTTGGTACTTAAAACATATTTAACAATAAATAAAACTGCAGTAAAAATATTTTTGTTTTTACTTACTATAAGCAGCACATGGCACACCAGTATACGCGTGAGTAGTATGATTACACCGATGAGTTGATCTTACACATGATAAACAATCATCGGGGTCTTCAACGACTGTCTTACCGGCATTTATTCGCCGTAAAGCTCCAGTAATTTTCTCAATTTCATCAATTGATTGTACGTGAGGAATAACTGATTGACCTTCTTTAAAAGGTAATTGTTTCTGAAGTGTTGACAATTGATCTATTCAAAAAAATTAATAAGAAGTATTGCTTATATATAAATATATCACTTGTTATTAATTATTTATAATAATTTAATTATTACCATATAAATATTTTTCAAAACGTTTAAATGAATACGGGCCTTCGTATCGTTGTAAACCGATGAATGTACCAGTACGGCCATACTCCTCAATCAATCGTTTAACTAAAACACGTTCATCAGACTTTCCTACTCTTATCTGTAATCTTTTCAACTCGGATAGCTGATAAAATATTAATCTTTCTATATGATACCTACATGATTCAATAACCATTTTTCAGTTAAAAATTTACCTCATAATATGTAATAAAATGTATATATGAGTAATTTACTTTCTACTACTTATCTGAACAGCTCGTGTAACAGACATAGTATTCAAGTCATTTGCTGGAGCCAAACTACAGTTGTTATTTAATCTGGGAATACGACTTTTTGTATTTTCTAAAAATATTGAAATAAATAAATGGTTTAAACAGTGTAATTAAAAAATATAGTTTACTAAAAATAGAATAATTAATCATATAATAAAAATTAGAGAGATAGTGTGGTCAAATCTGTAACCCAACAGTGCTTTATGCGCACTGTCTTAAATTTGATAAACAGGTATGGGCGTCTTTGTTTGCTGAGGAAGAGATCAATTCAATAATTGGAGTCACTTTCCCTCTAGCCAGTAATGAATTAACCTCCCCATTACAGAGTATCCAAGGTTAAGAAACCTTTTCGGAAGAGACCACTATGACCTCTTAATAATATACAAAACATAATTATAGCTTTTTTAGAAAAGTAAACAATGCTCGAAACATTCAATGAAAAGAAATATAATTGAATACATCATATTTAAATAGATATATTCAACATTCAAAGTTATAATTGAATTTTTAATTTTCTTTAAAAGATATTTTAATCTAAAAATTAATGTACAGTAAGGATCTAGTAAAGTAGAGTTGATGCATTTTAGCTTCGATGCGAAGCTAAGAAGGTATTGGTTTTACTATAATGTTTTTTTTTTTTTTTGTGTCTGTTACCACTTTTTTTCTGCTCTTACACAACCGATTTTTCTTAACGATACCTCAAAAAATCACAAATCGTATCTATTTAAAAATGTCTTTAAATAGATACTCTCAAAAATTGAAAAAAAATCCCTCGTTCTCCGTAAATGGGGGAAACCTCCAAGAAAATTACAAATTTAAAAATCGCTAATTTTCGAAATTTTTTTACTAAAAACTACCGTAACTTTTTTAAAAATGATATATTATATAATGATATATATTATAATAATGATATTATTTGGTATATTTTTTTTTGTAAATCTGACACTTAACCTGCCCCAGGGGGGAATTTAAAATGACAACTTTTTCACAAAAAATTAACTTTTTCAACTTAAATTTTGAAAATGTTCCGGAAGGTCTGACACTTTTATATATATCTTAAATTAAAGGTAATGCAATATACTTTAATTTGAAAAAAAAAATTTGACCTCTGGACTTGTCTTCATGGTGAAAATGGCTAACAAATGCTATTTTTGTGTGAAATTTCTCGATTTTATATTTTACATTTTTTACTTTAAAATGCTATAACTTTTTAAAAAATGTATAGATCANTGTTTCTGAAGTGTTGACAATTGATCTATTCAAAAAAATTAATAAGAAGTATTGCTTATATATAAATATATCACTTGTTATTAATTATTTATAATAATTTAATTATTACCATATAAATATTTTTCAAAACGTTTAAATGAATACGGGCCTTCGTATCGTTGTAAACCGATGAATGTACCAGTACGGCCATACTCCTCAATCAATCGTTTAACTAAAACACGTTCATCAGACTTTCCTACTCTTATCTGTAATCTTTTCAACTCGGATAGCTGATAAAATATTAATCTTTCTATATGATACCTACATGATTCAATAACCATTTTTCAGTTAAAAATTTACCTGATAATATGTAATAAAATGTATATATGAGTAATTTACTTTCTACTACTTATCTGAACAGCTCGTGTAACAGACATAGTATTCAAGTCATTTGCTGGAGCCAAACTACAGTTGTTATTTAATCTGGGAATACGACTTTTTGCATTTTCTAAAAATATTGAAATACATAAATGGTTTAAACAGTGTAATTAAAAAATATAGTTTACTAAAAATAGAATAATTAATCATACAAAAAAATTAGAGAGATAGTGTGGTCAAATCTGTAACCCAACAGTGCTTTATGCGCACTGTCTTAAATTCGGTAAACAGGTATGGACGTCTTCGTTTGCTGAGGAAGAGATCAATTCAATAATTGGAGTCGCTTTCCCTCTAGCCAGTAATGGATTAACTTCTCCATTACAGAGTATCCAAGGTTAAGAAACCTCTTCGGAAGAGACCACTATGACCTCTTAATGAGATACAAAACATAATTATAGCTTTTTTAGAAAAGTAAACAATGCTCCAAACATTCAATGAAAAAAAATATAATTGAATACATTTTATTTAAATAGATATATTCAACATTCAAAGTTATAATAGAATTTTTAATTTTTTTTAAAAGATATTTTAATCTAAAAATTAATGTACAGTAAGGATCTAGTAAAGTAGAGTTGATGCATTTTAGCTTCGATGCGAAGCTAAGAAGGTATTGGTTTTACTATAATGTTTTTTTTGTGTCTGTTACCACTTTTTCTCAGCTCTCACCGAACCGATTTCTTTTAATGATACGTCAAAAGATCACAAATCGTATCTAGTTGAAGATATTACCCTCAAAAATTGAAAAAATTTCCCTCGTTCCCCGTAAATGGGGGAAACCTCCAAGAAAATTACAAATTTAAAAATCGCTAATTTTTGAAATTTTCGAAATTTTTTTTACTAAAAACTACCGTAACTTTTTTAAAAATGATATATTATATAATGATATATATTATAATAATGATATTATTTGGTATATGTTTTTTTGTAAATCTGACACTTAACCTGCCTACAGGGGGAAATTTAAAATGACAACTTTTTCACAAAAAATTAACTTTTTCAACTTAAATTTTGAAAATGTTCCGGAAGGTCTGACACTTTTATATATATCTTAAATTAAAGGTAATGCAATATACTTTAATTTGAAAAAAAAAAAATTTGACCTCTGGACTTGTCTTCATGGTGAAAATGGCTAACAAATGCTATTTTTGTGTAAAATTTCTCTAAATTATTTTTTACATTTTTTACTTTAAAATGCTATAATTTTTTAAAAATTGTATGGATCAATACAATTTTTTCATGAATAGTAGTATTCATATACATCTTTCATTTGACATTTTTTTTTTTTTAAATCAGACCATTTTCCTATATACGGCAAGGGGCTTCAAATATAAAAAATGCATATAGAAAGTAGAACTTTTTCAACTTAACTTTTGAAAGTGTTCCGGAAGGTCTGACACTTTTATATATATCTTAAATTAAAGCTAATGTAATATACTTTATTATGGTAAAAAAAAATTTCGGACTTTATTTTATCTTCATGGTGAAAACAGACATTAAACTTAATAAAAAAAATACGATTTTTGTAAAAAAATTCTTTTTTATATTTTTAACTTTATAATGCTATAACTTTTTGAAAGATGTATGGATCAATATAATTCTTTTTTTTGTAGATGCATGATGTCTTTACCTATCATTTGGTATATTTTTTTTATAAATCTGACTTTTTACCTGCCTACAGGGGGGGATTCAAAATGACAACTTTTTCACAAAAAATTGACTTTTTCAACTTAAATTTTGAAAGTGTTCCGGAAAGTCTGACACTTTTATATATATCTTAAATTAAAGGTAATGCAATATACTTTAATTTGAAAAAAAAAATTTGACCTCTGGACTTGTCTTCATGGTGAAAATGGCTAACAAATGCTATTTTTGTGTGAAATTTCTCGATTTTATATTTTACATTTTTTACTTTAAAATGCTATAACTTTTTAAAAAATGTATGGATCAATACAATTTTTTCATGAGAAGTAGTATTTATATACAT